GGGAAATGAGGTTGGGTTCTGATGAGATTAGTCCAAGGTGAGGCGACGGGTTCTTGGGAGACCCCTCGTCCTAAATTATGTGTCTCTCCAAGCTGGGAAGGAGACCATTAGCTACCCAGTTGCTCACTTCTAAACCACATGTCCAGGCTTCTTTCTGGCTGGCATTGATTTTGTTTACTTTTGGGGCAGACAGTGTCTTGCACTTACGATATTTGAGACGATATATAAAGAAGGGTGCTTATGGTTTCCTAGCTATAAACTGCTCCTCAGAAAGAGGGGTCTGCTAACAGATCATCCTCCATGTCCATGCAGAGGAAACAGTTGTGTGGGCCCGGGAACCTCACTTTGATTCCAGAAACTATAGTGTGCCTTCTTAGGGCAGGCCACATACCGACACAGATATTTTGGAAGCTGTGGTCGGAATGAAGAGAAGAAGAAGAGTTTGGATCTATACCCCGCCCTTCGCTTGGAGTCTCAGAGTGGCTGACAAACTCCTTCCCCTCCCCACAACAGACACCCTGTGGGGTAGGTGGGGCTGAGAGAGCTCTGACAGAAACTGCTCTTTTTCAAGGACAGCTCTTGTCAGAGCTTGTGACTGACCCAAGGTCACATCAGCAGGTGCAAGTGGAGGAGTGGGGAATCAAACCCAGTTCTCCCAGATTAGACTCCACACACTTAACCACGACACCAAACTGGCTCTCTATGAGAGGAAGGACGGTAGCAAGGCTGGGTTTCTTAACTGGAAAGTGTTTCAAGACAGAGTAGGAGTAGCAGCAGTAGCCCGAGGACCACGCCATGGCTGGCTGGTCTTCACAACCTGTCTATTGCTCGGCAGGCTTTCTACATGATCCGCTTCCACTCCTTCTACCCCTGGCACACGGGAGGGGATTACATGCACCTCTGCAACGGAGAAGACCTGCGCATGCTGCCCTGGGTGAAAGAGTTCAAGTGAGTGCTCCAGAGTCTCGGCAGAGGTGCCAAAGATCGAACCTGGGACCTTCTGCATGCCAAGCAGAGGCTCTGCCACTGAGCCACAGCCCCTCTTGACAGCTCTCCAGGGTCTCAGGCATGAGGTCTTTCCCATCACCTCCTGCCTGGTCCTTTAAACTGGAGATGCCGGGGATTGAACCTGGGACCTTCTGCTTGCCAAGCAGAGGCACTTCCACTGAGCCATGGCCCCTCTTTACAGCTCTCCAGGGTCTCAGGCTGAGGTCTTTCCCATCACCTCCTCCCAGGTCCTTTTAACTGGAAACGCTGCCAGAGACTGAACCTGGGACCTTCTGCATGCCAAGCAGAGGGCTCTGCCACTGAGCCACAGCCCCTCTTTACAGCTCTCCAGGGTCTCAGGCAGAGGTCTTTCCCATCACCTCCTGCCTGGTCCTTTTTAACTGGAGATGCCGGGGATTGAACCTGGGACCTTCTGCATGCCAAGCAGAGGCTCTGCCACTGAGCCACAGCCCCTCTTGACAGCTCTCCAGGGTCTCCGGTGGAGGTCTTTCCCATCACCTCCTGCCTGGTCCTTTTTAACTGGAGATGCTGGGAATTGAACCTGGGACCTTCTGTGTGCCAAACAGGTGTTCTGCCACTGAGCCACGACCCCTCTTTACAGCTCTCCAGGGTCTCAGGCGGAGGTCTTTCCCATCACCTCCTGCCTGGTCCTTTTCTAACTGGAGATGCCAGGGATTGAACCTGGGACCTTCTGCATGCCAAGCAGAGGCTCTGCCTCTTGACAGCTCTCCAGGGTCTCAGGCAGAGGTCTTTCCCATCACCTCCTGCCTGGTCCTTTTCTAACTGGAGATGCCGGGGACTGAACCTGGGACCTTTGCGTGCCAAACAGCAGCTCTACCACTAAACCACGTCCCCTTCCAAACATTGCATAGGGGAAAAAATTCTAAAATCACCTACCTTGCCTTCTCTGTGCCTTTGATGGAAGGGAAGCAAAACCTCACTGAAGTCCGGGTGCAGAATGAGGGGCTGGCCTCTTGATGGACAGGTTGTGGCCCATGAGCATGTAAAAAGACTAGCCCTGCCTCTCTCTGGTCTCTCCTTACAGCAAGTTTGACCTCTACACCAAGTGCGAAGATCTGCCTGACCCTCAGGAACTCAAGGATTATTACCAAAGCCTCATAGACAAGTACTGCCCAGGAAAGCTGCAGTGGTGATGCTGAAAAGTTCATACCTCCCCTCGGTCCTCCCTTGGGCTAGAAATCGCAGCCACCCCTCTCGCAAAGGACGACCCTTCAGGGCGGGGCTGGGAGACGCCCTGGGCTGCCTTCTCACCCGGGGCCAAATGCACTCTGCTCGTCTTAAAAGAGCTGCGTGCCAAATCCGTTCCTGGGAAACTCACTGAGCCCTGAAGCCTAAAATTAGATAAAACCCGGATGGCTCCGGCATCACCTACGTGAACTACAGTCTCCCTTGCTGTGTCTCCACCCATCTGCCGGAACCATCAGCTACACCATCATCACCAAAACACAAAACTTGTGTGTCCGCCCCCCTTCCTACACCAACTGAGAACAATTTTGGTGTAGTGGTTAAGTCCGCGGACTCTAATCTGGGAGAGCCGGGTTTGATTCCCCACACCTCCACGTGCACCTGGCTGGATGACCTTGGGCAAGCTGTAGTTCTGATAAGAGCTATCCTTGAAAAAGAGCAGTTTCTGTCAGAGCTCTCTCCTCCCCACCTCCCTCCCAGGGTGCCTGTTGTGGGGAGGGGAAGGGAAAGGAGTTTGGAAGCCGCTCTGAGACTCCCTTGGGTAGTGTAGGGCGGGGTATAAATCCAATCTCTTCTATGACAGCCAGTTTGGTGTAGTGGTTAGGAGTGTGGACTCTAATCTGGGAGAACCGGGTTTGATTCCCCACTCCTCCCCCACATGCAGCTGCTTGTGTGACTTTGGGTCAGTCACAAGTTCTTTCAAGGGCAGTTCTCTCAGAGCTCTCTCAGCCCCACCTCCCTCCCAGGGTGTCTGTTGTGGGGAGGGGAAGGGAAAGGCGTTTGTAAGCTGCCCTGGGACTCCTTTGGGTAGTGAAGGGCGGGGTATAAATTCAATCTCTTCTTCTTCTACTGGACCACCTAGCAAGAAGACTGGAGTGTTTTTGAGCAAGTCAAAGTTGAGGACGAGTATTCCCCCCTCCCGCCCACTGAAGGAAATCCGTCCTGCCTGGAGCAACATTCCTCCAGAGCACCCCGTTAGGGCTGGCCAGTGGTGACTAGGACTTTAGTCGCTATTGCTTCTGCTGACACCCCTCCACAGCCGGCACAGAAGGGGGTCTGCATTTGCCAACTGTGGCTTGGGAAATTCCTGCACAGCCAGTGTGGTGTAGTCAGTAAGAGTGGTGGACTCTATAATCTGGAGAACCGGGTTTGATTCCCCACTTCTCCGCATGAAGCCTGCTGGGTGTCTTTGGGCCAATCAGAGTTCTCTCAGCCCCCACCTGCCTCACAAGGGGTCTGATGTGGGGAGAGGAATGAGAGGAGATTGTAAGCCACTCTGAGAGAAAACCATCAGACTCCACTCTGGAGAAGAGATTGGATTTATACCCCACCCTTCACCACCTTGAAAGAGTCTCAGAGCGGCTGACAATCTCCTTCCCCTCCCCACAACAGACACCCTGTGAGGGAGGTGGGGCTGAGAGAGCTCTCTCGAGGACTGCCCTTGAGAGAACTGCCCTGAAAGGCTATGATTGGCCCAAGGCCACACCAGCAGCTCCATGTGGAGGTAGCTGTTAGGAGTGCGGACTCTAATCTGGGAGAACCGGGTTTGATTCCCCGCTCCTCCACTTGCAGCTGCTGGTGTGACCTTGGGTTAGTCATAAGTTCTTTCAGAGCTGTTCTCTCAAGGGCAGTTCTCAGGAGAGCTCTCTGAGCCCCGCCTACCTCCCAGGGTGCCTCTTGTGGGGAGGGGAAGGAGATTGTAAGCTGCTCTGAGCCTTCTTTGGGTAATGAAGTATAAATCCAATCTCTTCTTCTTCCTAACAGTTGCCCCCCCACCCACTCTTTTTCCTGAAAGTAGCCCTTGAGGAGATTTTATGTCATTTGTCTGAAGAAGTGTCCTTTGTGTGCAAAATCTTACACTTTGAATAAAGCTTTGGGGTGTCACTGGACTCCGACTTTGTTTTGCTTGCTTGGAAAGGTCACCGGGAAAGACTATAATGCTAGGAAAAGTGGAAGGGAGCAGGAAAAGATGAAAACTCAACATGAGATGGAGACACTCGGTCAAGGAAGCCACAAAGGACCTCAGTTTGCAAGACCCGAGCAAGGGTTTCAAGGACAGTCTGGGAGGGCCATGTTTCACAGGATCACCAGAAATTGGGAGT